CTAACAATGGTGCCACCTTCCGGTGAAATATTCCAATTCAATTCAAATAGCTTTATTGCCAGTGTTGCCAAAGCGGTAACAATTAACTAACATTACTAACAAGTCGAAGAAGACTCCGCAGCCGAAACGTTGTGTTTCTTTTCTTCTCTTTTCAGCATGGCATAAACCTTGCCATGGAATAAACACACATAAACACATAAAAACATGTTCCCGTGGAATAAACCTTTACTTGTTCGTTAACGATTAACAGCTTGTTTACAGAGTAGACGAGGAGTATTTAAACTAAAATACCAGGGGCGTGGAGCTCACCTGTTCTGGTGGGATGGGAAAGGCCCTGAACAACACTTAAAAAATGTCTAGAACAAAAAACTCATCCATTAACAGCTAGACGCATAGGGTAGAAAGACCAAGAAATTGCATTAACAGGGAACTGACAGGGACAAATATAAAATTCGCGGATTAACATTTTTAGTAAGGACAGGCAAGGCAGAAGAGGTGGCAGTGGGTACTGTACAAATAACCACCTAGCTTGATAACTGAAGCAAGAGGAGGTTTGCCATCTACAACATGCAGGTGTTACAGCAGAATAAGAATTCTAAGGTCCACACCAGGGGTCGCTTTACGCCATCTAATAGAGGCAAGAAAAAAGTGGATTTAATGACGGTTCTGAAAGGTGTATAGCAGAATGATGTTCTACTGCTAGAAGATTTCAACTTTCCACACACAAATTGGGATATTGTATTAGGGAATATGGAAGCTGAAATTGATATGGTTGAGATGGTTGCCTCTGAACCCAGCTAGGAAAGATCATAAATGACCTAATTTTTTTCCTTAAGAAAGGAAGATAATTAAAAATAACCGAGGTGATAGAGCCACTTGGAAACGGTGACTTTAGGTATCTTTCGATGTTTGTTTTACGAGGTAATCTCTGAAATGCTGAATCTAAAAAGTGGTTTTATAATTTTAGGAAAGCAGACTGCGAAGGTACGGTATGAGGCAGAGATTACAGACGGTGAACTGGGAAGAAAGCTGGTCCTTCTTCAGACACGTAAGACATTTCAAATGTCAAAACGGTCCCAAGCGAATTAATTAGACTTCCGAATGAACGGTGTAACGTGAGCATTTGGACACAAGGTGCAATTAAAGTCAAGAACAGCAGGTAGCTCTTCACGCAAAGGGCTGTGGGAGTATGAAACAAGCCCCCCAGCCAAACTGGAGCGGATACTCTGGACGAGATCACTTAGCTACTAAATGAGTTAAACAGGCTGAATAGCCTCCACTTGTTTGATAGTGTTTTTATATCTCGAACACATTATTCCTTCAGTGGACAAAAGGTTTGTTTATTTATAGCCAGTTTAATTGTGATGCATGAGAGCAACATCTGAGCTTTCATTGAAAGCAATAACATGTCCTAAGATCTCATGTGCAGCCTCTAATTATTTTATATAACTCAAATCAAATACTGATAGCAGTAAAAGGAACCAATCATTTTTATCCAGCCTTATCTATTTTCATTTTCTTTCTTTATCCGACATCTATTTTTGTAAATGCTGTATACTGCATTTTGCATATACACATATATAGGCAACAGCAACTGAGCGTTTGATCTATAATTTTCTAAAGACTGTGCTCATGAGCTGAGAAGCAAATGCTTGAAGCAAGGCTGTGCAGAGCATGACTACATTATGGAAATTTCAGTTAATCTGCAATAACCAGAGTGATTATTAGTCACTCTGATAATGTTAGAATGTGGTGCTCCAGAATTATTTAGTGCCAACAACAACAGTGTCTTTACTGTTACTTCTGAACCATAAAACTATGTCATTTCTACATTTCTCGGTGCAGGTTGTTTGGCGTTATCAGGAAACTCATTCAGGGTTTTTATTTGATTAGTGTCCAACTTTCTAACAATTTCAACACTAGTGCAACGTGATCGATATGTCCAATTAATCCGAGAGTGTATACTTGAACTGATGTGATTAAAAATAAAATACTAACAGGTTGCACTTTTCAGTCAGGTTTTTTATTATTATTATTATTATTATTATTATTATTATTATTGAAGGGGGGAGAAAGACGATGCTGAGGCCTTCCTCCTCTGCCCTCTGTCCCTTGGTGTTCGAGTCCTCTCCAGGCTCCAGACACTGAAATTCCTTCCTTCTCTGTAGTCTTGAGCTCTCTGACTGGACCTCTTTAACTCTTCCTTCATGACCTATTCTCTGGGAGAGGGGAGGAGGTGTTTCTTTAGCGTCTAGGGTTGTGGGCAGAGCCGGCTGCTCAGGGCTCAGTGATCAGCTAGCTGTACACAGATGGCCAGGTGTAATGATACACTGTGTATCTGCACTCTGCTCCAGAGCCCTCAGGCCAGTCTCAGGCAGAGTTAAACCTGTCTTTGCAGCCCACATGTCCCCACTGAACGGTGTGGTAATGAACACGTGTCTGTGCCAGGACCTTCGATCAATTAGCAACAAGGAAATACAATTGCACTACCCTTACTGAGACACTGGTCATTATGCACAACTCCAAATCAATACAGCTGTCTACACCTGGTGCACCCACACCCATTCCTTTCACTCTGTGATATGAATTTCAGATCACACTCACCAGGCTGCAGTTCATTGAAATTGGTCTTGTCTAGAGAGAAAAATGCGTCATATTCCTGTCAATGTTGTTTGATGTTGGGCATTACAGACCTATCTTAATACACTTCATTGTCAATGTGCAATAAACCTCAAGGTGGTATTAGTCAGTCACTGCTTGTTACACAACGTTTTCATTTACCTGCCACTATAAATGTCTTTAGTCAGCATAGTAAGGATCTGAACACAGAGCAGGTGTAGCGGAGCTAGTGTGGACACGGTGACGTCATCTCCCTCCCTGCGTGTAGCAGGGACCTCAGCCACCTGAGCTGCGGGAGGTCTCCTTTAGCTCATGCGGCTGATTCCCTGTTGCGTTACGCTGGAGACCCTGGTTTCGCGCCCCAGGTGTAGCTGGACAAATCGGCAGAGTGGAGTGGCGAGGGCACAAGCCCGTGCAGAACCATGACTGTCACACAGACATGTCAGCTGGCATTGATTCATTTATTCATCCTTGGTTTACATCCATTTTCCTACAATGTATATTGATACAGCAATACAACAGGAATGTACTGGATCAATCAAAAGAGAAAATATGGTCATCTTGTACATGCTGATCTTGTGCATGTTAGATATCTGGCATTGAAAGTGTAAGGGGAGCTGGTCCAGGCTCCCGCGAAGCGTAGTTCAGGACCCTGTGCAGACGGTATAATCCGGAAGTAAGTGGAGAAGGACGTCAGGGGTGGAGAAGAAGAGGATCAGGACGGGTTGACAAACGGGAGTGTGACGACGGTGATCCGATGCTCGTGGCGATGGCAAACAAGTTCAGGCAGTCCAAAGTCCAAAACCGGGTGTTCCATCAAAGACGAAACAAACACAGTTAAAAACCCGGAACGGGATCCAGAACAGGGACAGGAACTAAAACGAGGGTAATGAGGCCAGGCGCTCAGAGATTACGATCGCGACAGAGAGAAAAGCATATTTCACACGGGGAAGAAGCTGCAGCTCTGTGGCTATCACTGACTTCATTTGAAGAGACACATGACCTGACTGATAGCAGCCCCTTGTGCGAGTGCTATATAAGCTCAAGCGGTAGAGTAGGGATTAGTTAAGGCATCTGAATATTTCAGTCTTCAATCATCAAGATGTAGGATGTATACAGTGTATTTCCTTGAGCATGTGTGATTTATTAATAATGGATATTTTATATTTAATACACTATATATTATACAGCCTTAGAAATTATATATGCATCAAGCCTTCGAAATTAGTAGCCAGATGCAGCTGCATCTGTAATGCAGTAAAAAAAACTGTGAAACAAAGTAAATTAAAAACAAGGCAAATGGAATTGCTTCCCAGATGTAGCACAGGTATTTCACAGATCATTTAAAGTGATCTGGTTTACATCTCTGGCCATTTCATTCGGGCAGGGCACATTTTCACCTGCAGTTTACACATCAACAGGAGGCTTTTATCTTCTGAATGGATTTCAGGAGTGTGTACAGCTGCTGAAAAGCTGCATGAGAACCCTCTCCGTCATTTCGTTTTCACTGTGGTAAATACCCGTGAATGTAAAGTGTTAAATTTCTCACTAAAGGAAACGGAGGCAGTGGCCTGAAAATGGTGTTGGCTCAACTGGATGTCCAGTCCCTGTGGCTTTTACCTTTCCCAGAATGCCATTTTGTCCATTATCGGACATTTTCATTCCTGCTGGAATGTCCTCATTAGTACATTTTGCATCAAAAATGCTACTGTATGTGTGAACTTGTCCAAGGTTCAGAACTTGCCTTTATTCTGGCCTGGTCTCTGAAACTTTCCTCGAACAGAGTTTACAGGTGATGTAAATTTAGCTTCATTTTTGTGTGGCTGTGAATTTCATTTTCACCTGCTGTTGAACGAGACATTATTTTCAGCAGAATGGAGATGGTGTGTAACATAGCAATTTAAAAGGGGGGAAATGCATTTCACTGAACTGGAATCTGGTCCACCTTTGGTGACTGCTAATGATCATTGAAAGGAATATGCCGTTACAAAGTTACAAAACATTTGTAAGGTGCCTGAAAACACAGAGGCGTTTTATTTATATTTACGTTCAATGTGAATTGTGGGAGAAAGCGTAGCGGAGAAATGCTTGAGAAGTAATTGCGACACGTTCAGAGTATAATGAACACAATATTGTGAAGTGCTTGGTGTTTACAGCAAAATAGAAACAGGGATGAGACGACATGCACCTCAGGACTTTTCCTTTTGAGACTTTCTTTTTTGTCTGTTCTATTTATGAGGCTGACGTCTTTATATCCCTGGCTACCAAAATGTATGCAGCGGGATATTTTACTGAAGCATCCTGACAGAAATGCCGCGCTGTGTTTCGGTCATCTGTCTCACACGACACCGGTGCTTGAACCGACAGCCGCTTACTGAGGCTGCTGGTGTCCTCACCTTTAATCATCTCCGCCGGCGAGATGAATCAAGTGAAAACAAATTCGCATTTACAATCCCTACCTGAAGAGTACCCGTTTATATTCTGAAGCTTTAAATCGGCTTTAAAATCGTAGCTTAAAGGACATAACAACAACGCAACACCTGGGATTTGCAGCCATAGCTCCGCGATTCAGAGCCTCTGCTCACCACTAGTATCCTGATAGTCATGCAAGTTTGCATGGCGCCATGACTGGGAGCACCGTCACGAAAAGGCCGATACAGGTGGGAGGACACAAACAAGGAAGAGGTTCATTAATATGTGATTGGACAAGACAAGCTTTTAACTTGTTCGAAGAAAGTCCCGGAAGAACGGCGGGTTTCGAAAAATATTGTATTAGGCCACGAAAAGGCTTACAGAGAAGACACGTAAAGCACTATTGTTCCATTTTAAGTATCTATAAAACAACAACAACAACAGCAATGCTCGGTGGATTAATTATATCGGCAGGTATGTGTTTTTTACGTCTTATGTAACCTTGCTTACCTGGGACGAGACACACCTATGTACGGAAAGATCAGTAACGCTACATGTTCCCATTGAACTGTACCTGATCAGAAACCGTGCATGAACTTTATTTCTATTCAGACTAATCAAGTAGGGACGGTTCGGGTTTTTTTTTTTTAAGTTATCATCAATGCTCAGATTTTATTGCACTATCAGAACTATATTTCGTTTTCGTTTTTTATTTAAACAAAAATCAGACATTGTTATAAGGCGTGGCTAGCGTCTTTCCCGAAGTTTGTATTGTAAGCACTGGGGGGAAACGAGGCATTAGTTACAAAATCTAATAAATGGGACCTGACACTATTGTAAAATAATGTAGTCAAATTAAGACCCATTTTCGTCTATAATGTGCAGGCTGCGGTCTTCAATATGTCATTTTATTTACGGGAAGGGAGTTATTGTCTTACCTGCAGTAAAAACTGTGCTGGTACTACAAAGCGGAGCAAATACTTCCGAATGAGGTTTTTAATCGAGGTTTGTATTGTCCGTTTAATGAAGCTAAAAAAAAAGTGTTTAAATATTGTTTTGTTCTAAAATTAAGTTTTATGCGTGGATTTTTTTAAAAAAGGTTAATATCGTTAACCTTTTTGCATTGGTTCTGTTAAGGGAGAAACATCTTTGGGGGTGTTTCGGTCACTCTATCGGAGCAAAACTGAACAATGGCTCTAATCTAACCATTTGTATTCACGATTTTCTTTTGACTGAGCACTTACAATACAATTACATAAAAATACTTTATAACAGACAGCGACCCCGCTCTGTGATTTTTATCTTGCTCTCAGATGTTAGGTATCTGAAATCCTTGATAGCATTTAGCGACCGCGCTTTTTATTTGTAAAAATGCCGTTTGTTGTAAAATTTAATTAAAATACGTTTGAGGAATGAATATCCCATTGTTGTTTCGCAATCAAAATGTTTCACTCCCTTCCTAATTGAAGCGCGATTGTAAAGTGATTAGCAAACTAGCATTTTAAAGTTGTCGTTTTAATCTTCGTGGCCGATTATCTCAGTGACCTTTGTTATTAATAGCTGACGAGATCCGTAGTTTGAAAACATGAGGAATTTGAGTTTTGGGGGAAATCTGCTGAACATGTGAAACCCGTTCACTAACCCGTTCCTAACTTCTGCATTCAAGTTCTATATTGTAGTTGTATTTCTATAGTCTTATATTTGTGGCTGAAAATGCATGGATGTTTATTTTACACACGAGTCACATTTTTCTGCGTATATAGGCGTATGAAATACTTAGGAAGAAAAGCAGTGGACGTTTAATATGGAGATGGGGTAGTAACACTGTGTTAACTCATCTCTACCTCATATATTTGAATTTTTTTTTCACAATCAACACAATTCTCACCGGACAGATTTTATTATTAAAAACAAATCCCTTAGCATGAAACATAACTTCTGACTTCCATTATTTCCTGGGCTGTCTTCACTCAGCGGTGCAGTACAGATTGGTTTTGAACTTTGTTCCAACCTGAAGCACGTCGAGGACATGATGGGCTACAACACCGAGAATTATCATTTTCGATTCGAATGTAGTGTCACCTTACAGTGGCAGCTAAGCAAGATGGCTGCTTACAGAGACTTGCCTATGTAAAACATTATTTCTGCCAGTGGCAAAACGGTCAGGTTTGAGGTCTATGTAATAAAGCACTTCGCCTGTTAGTACTAAGTGTTAGTCTTAATCATTCATTTCCTTTGTAAGGTTGAACATATTGTTAGAATGTTTTATTTTAAAACTTTACAGAAATAACTCTTGTATCTTCTTAAAAATTCATCCGACCTGCTATTGCGGGGATAGTTTACGTCATAAACCCACTTTTCACCGCTGTATTTCAGTTAAGCATGTGCGTGTTGTGACAGACCCGAGGAAAGGGGAGGAGGAACTGATTGGCGCTTAAATGAAATTTAGATTATTTGCTAAAGGCTGTCTGTCCTCTTGGATGTTAAAAATACTTATTATTTTTATTTCAGTTCACATGACTTTCCTTTTAGGAAGTTTAAGTGTAATTCTGTTTGCTTGACAGTTCTCTTAAATAAAAAATAGTCATGCTTATCGATAGAAAATACTTCTGTTTCACACAGGACCATTTAGTGTGTTATTTAAAAGAAGGGACAAGGCGATTATTGTATAAGACTATTTTTCTGTGTCACTTCATTTCTTTGATTCAGTTCCTGCTTTGTGGTATACATACAGTACAGTGTTAGGAAGTATGATTCTATTGCATTTGTGCATCAAATATCACCACAAGGCTGTATTTGTTTTTTAAAAAAACCTAAATGAGTGGTGGTCATTAGCAAGGAGGAAAGCCTAAAGCCTATACTGGAAAAAAATAAGTTGTAGACTGCAAAACGTACGTCAAGATACTGCAAGCAAACGCCAAAGAAAAGGAACGTGTACAGTTCATGAACCCTCTATCGTGCTGATAGCATTTAAGCCATTCTAGCTGTGAGGTTTAAACATGAAGTTGACTTGACTATAGAACAAGGTTTTGTTAGATGGCTGTGTATTTTTTTTACATTATTACATTTCAGCGCATGAAACACGAATGCATTCTGAGCGGATATTGTGATCAATACCCGATAGTAGTTAAAGTTTTCAATCACTGAACAAGACAAGACTCATTATTACTCCATTTTAGTTCTGATAGTATTAAAGATTAAAGTGTATCACATTTTTTCCTACTAGCAGAGAAGCTGTTCATAAGGTATTTATAAAAAACGGACATATTTGCATGTCCATAAATCTTTTAAAATGTCCTATAGAATATAGCCTGATCTGTGCCAGTCAGGGGTTGTTAGTGGGACAGAGGGCTGAGAAATACCACACAGAGTCCTGGTCATGACACCTCTAGGGATAAACCACAATCTGACACCCGAAGAAGGCTCCACAGCCAAAACGTTGTTTCTTTTCTTCTCTTTTCAGCGTGGAATAAACCTTTACTTGGTCCTAAACCACAATCTGTCGTTTGAACAATTCCGACACTTTCCATTGTTAGAAGTTCTGCTGCAAAACATTTTAAGCAAGTGGCACAGGATATGAATATTTATACAGGAAGTTGTATTCATAACATGCTAATTTATTTTATATGAAATGTAAAAGCTGACGGTGACATTGAGCTCTTTAACTTTTATTTGTATTTTGCTGGCTTCCTTTCTCGGGATGTTCCCTAAAAGGCACTGTGTTTTCTTTATCTCCATTGTCTTCTCCCTCTAGTGTTATCTGCAGCCTGGGCCTTAGAAGTGACCATTCCAAAGGATACGTATGACGCAGCCAGGGGTGGCAATATTACCATTCCCTGCAGCTTCAAGTCCACTGCCACCAATTTAAATAACATGGTCCTCTCTTGGCTTTATCTCACAAATGACCCTAATGGCGAAGATGTAAGTAACTGTGCATGAGGGGGCATTTGCTTTTCATCAACTGCATTCCCTATCTTGTAACGCGTGGACAGAAGGATGTTTCCCTTGCCTTTATGAAACTGATAGTTATTTTAGTCATTATTCATTCACTCAATATTTAGAAGGCTGACTTGTGATGCACAGCATGGTGTGTGTGTGTGTTCTATGAAATCAAACTGCTGAACGTAGGATTGGCTGAAGATGATCCTGCCTGCCTCCAGTGCCTGGAGGACATGTGAGGAGCACCTTCAGTGGTTGGGAGAAATGCTTCTTAAACATCGAATTCATAACGGGTTCACAGAAAGAGAAAGTCTTCGATTTAGGCCGTTGTGTCAGGGAGTTCTGCTGGCGATCGCTTGCATTTGAGTAATTGCTCAACACCCACCTGTCTTCATATTGGGGGAAAAATAAATAAGTGGGGAGATTTAGCAGGTCATGCCTGAAGAGATCCTGTGAAAGTCTGCTATGGGTTACTGTTTTATTTTCAGTGAAATATTGCAAGGACATCTGTTGATAATGTAAATAAGCTGCTTACTCTCAAAGCAAGGTGAACACTTCCACTTGCATATGTTAAGTGCTTCTTATTACACTGTGTTTACTGTCATCTGCTCTTTTTTCAATTGCCATGTAATCAGAGTCGATATGCTCTCCCTTTAGCGCTTTATCTGATACAGTAACCGAGGCTATGATGTAAACTAACGTGAGTCAAAGCTATCTCGCCATTTTTGGTTCCACTCCAGCTTTTTACCTCCTTGGCCTTGACTGGACGGAAACCTGCCTACCGCACCTTAAAAAGAACAGGAAGTCTGCGCGCTGTAATTACTAGTGGAGTTACTAAGCTCGTTTTTATTGAGACATCTTATAGACTTAACTCTGTGTATTAGCGGTAGCCATTCATTCGGGGTGGGGATAATTTAATCATATAGATGTATTTAAATACAAGCAAAGATTACTTGCTCTTTTACTTTGAAATCCTAGTCATTACATTATTACATGCAGAGGGTAAGGGTTTTCTAAAGTAAGCAAGACATGTGGACTTCAAACCGATCAAAATGCTGAAAAAGAAAGTCAGAAATATACTCTTGATTTGTTCAACTGTAAAATGCTTTGAGCTTTGACATGAATGCCTATTCCAAACTTTTTTTAAAACAGGAGGGCTGTTTTACTTTCTTGTCTCATTTTGTATGCTAATAACATGCCTTATTGTAAAATACAAAATGTATAATCCTTTGATACAGATTTAAGTTCTGACTGAATAATATGAATCTTACTTTTGCTCAGTAATACTCAGTGGATATTTATTAGTTCCAGCCATGTAGAGTATTTTGCTAGGGTTTTTGGTGAACTGAAATGTACTGATTGTCACCAGTTGTGAGGGTTTCACTGTATCTTAATCACAATTTTATCACACGAAGAAACAAAATATGCAAGTGTAAAATATCAAGATGCTCTTTATCTATCAGCTAGATATTTTTCTTAGACCATTTCTTTAAAATTAATTCTCATTTGTCTGAGGTTATTTGTTGGATTTTTTTTAGAATCAATTTCTTACATATTATGCCGCTACCAATCAACTGGATTTAGCGGAGGAGTATCAAGGCAGAGCAGGTTTAAAAAGTGCCCCGGTTAGTGGAGATTCTTCGATCTACATCAATCGACTTACAATGAGCGACAATGGGACTTTGGAATGCAGGCTCCAAATTCCAGGAGATAATAAAGGAAAAAAGGCAGCAAAAGTTAACCTGATTGTGTTGGGTAAGTTATATTTTAGTTTTTGTTCAATATTTCAATATATTTTCCCCCTAGATACCATAGTATGCATCATATTTGGGTGGATCAACTACTGAAGTAATTTTTCTTTAACAAGCTGATGAAAAACCTGTAGCACCTGCAGTAAGTCTCTCCCTCTCACCTTCAGACCACTGGTCATTCATGATGTTGCAGGCAATGTAGCCCTGTAGCAGAGGTTCAGATGAGGCTGCAGGAGAGGCACATCCCTCACTGATTGCTCGGCGTACCTGTAGGTGTCTGGGAGACCATAGGGGTTGCTGCTTCCTTAGAGAGCACTGGTCTACAGATCCCACTGCTCGGCCAGTTTAGTGCCACTGCTTACACAGTTCCTGATTGCAGTTTGCTGGCAACAGGACCCAGGTTCGAACCCGCAGGACAAGGAGCGCAGAGCTCATCCTGTGATGGGGAAAGTTAATTTAATGTTCGAGTCACCTGGGAGGGCCAGTCTTTGTTCTGAGACAAAATCAGTAAAACCTCAAAGTATTAAGGACCTGGTACTTGGGGTGTTCACGTTATGCTGAATGATGAAATGAAAATCCGACCTGTTATCTGTAGATCCTTTAGGAGGACATTATGTGTTGGTTTCACAGGCATAAAGTACTGTACCACTTTTCGCTTAATTAAAAAAGTTTTTCTGAGAAGACCGGAAAAAATGACAGTGAATTCCTGTCTTGACCAGTAGATTGATCTGATCACCACTTTAAAGTATTAGTGCTCACGATGTCCAGTCTTTTCATCAACTAATAGAACACTATGAATTTAAAGCCAAATGTCAGTAATTGAGGTATTTTATTGTAATAAATAACCATGTTAAATAATGATGATTTTGTCAATCAGTACAGAAATACCCAGCATTTTTAAATATCTAAATCTTAATTTCTGTTTTTTTCTGTCTGCTGCTTTAAATTTCACAGAACCACATATTACAAACGATACCACTGTAGGACACTCCAGGTGAAAAACATTAACTGTAGCATGACAATTCAAGCAATTTGATGCACATAACCGTTTCAGCCCATCATTTTTCAGATATACAAAAAATGCAGTACATTCCACATAGAATAACAAAAAAATAAGGAATAAAAAAGACAATGTACTGTGAAAATAATCCACCTGTTGCACTGTTGTAAAATTCTGTATAGCTTCTAAGCAAGGCTGCATCTGGTCAGTACTGGGATGGAAGACTTACAGACTCCTGTAAGTATAGGTGGTAGACCAGTATTAGTGTTACAAATGATAAAATATTTTTTCCTCCCTCTTAAAGTATAAGGAAATATCTATTAGCTTTTCAACTTATTTTCCCCAAAACGAGAGAAACTGGGGCGTTGGGTGGTGGGCAGCTGTGCTGGGGCCCCGAGTTATATTCCAGCCCTGGGGTGCTGTCGGTGTGGAGTTTGCATGCTCTTCCCTGGTTTGTGTGGATTTCGTGGTGCTCCCGTTTCCTCCCACGGTCCAGAAACATACTGGAGGGTTAATTGGCTTCTGGTGTGAGTGCGTGTGCCCTGTGATGGACTAGCATCTCGTCAGGGTGTATGCTGCCTTGCTTGCCTGGATAGGCTCTGGCTTCCTCGCAGCCCTGAAGCGGAAGAAGAGGTTAGGAAATCGATGGATGGGAGAGAAAATGGGAGGTAAAGTAGGAGTTGGTGCATGATTTATGAATACAGCGAATTCTAGGTAAGGCCTGTCCTGAAATAGTGCTTATTGATCTTATAAAGTACAAGGGTGAGATGGGCTATTACTTTTTTTTTAAAAAAAAACAATAAAATACCTTGAATAAAGCTTGAAAAGTCTGAAAATGTGATTGACCTTTTAGCTTACTTCAGAAATCCCATTGTCAAATCATGGTGTAATGGCAAAGGAAATGTATAAATCCATAAACGGCATAGAGCTCAATTAAGGAGCACATCACTGCATTTTGCTTATGTTCCCACAGTGGCTCCTTCTAAGCCTATCTGCAAGTTGGAGGGAACACCAGAATACGGACAGAATATTAAGGCGACGTGCTACTCCGAAGAAGGCTCCCCCCAGCCAACATACAAATGGCAGATCTATGATGTTCAGAACAGACCAAAGCCAAATCCTCCGAAATCAACTGAAGGTGCAGGAGGGATATTTGTGCAGAAGCAACACTGCATTGTAGTGAACAACTTTTGGTTTTACTCTTTGATTTTTATGCTCAACCAAGAGATGTATGACTGACACATGAATGGTTTGTAAGATGCGATTTTATGAACGTTTACATTATTTTTTGCACATGTGTAAGAGAGGAAGGGGTGTTTTATATTCTGGGATAGTACCTGCCACAATATCAGAGAGGTTGAAGGTTTTACCTCTGTAGTTATATTTGCTTCACATGTTATTTTCCTTTTCGTTGTAGAAAATGGGATTCTAAGCCTTGTGAATGTTTCGATTGACACGTCTGGATTCTACGTTTGCACTTCACAAAACCGAATCAGTTCTGCCATCTGCAACATGACTGTATCGGTGATGCCTCGTAAGTACCCTTGGAAAGAGAAGAAAATGTCATCATTTGTGTATTTCGTATTATATTTTTGTTTACCTTAGATTTTCTCTACCTCTTTAAGGCTTTTAGCCAGGATACGATACAACACAAGCCCTCTCTTTAAGAGTGTATGGAAACAGAGAAGAGCCACATTGTTTCTGCATACCTTTAGGGTCAGAATGAGTCTTTCTGATATGCTAGGGAAAACATGATTGGGTGGCCACTCTGGCCCAGCAAGGTTCAGCACAATTTACAGGTCTATGTTTTCAGCTTCTTGAAGACAACAAAATGCTTCTACTTGTCCAATGAGGGAAATAAGGGTCAGAAACTGTCTGGACCCCCAGGACTGGAGTGATGCACCCCTGGTCTGTCTGGAAGATAACTTGTTCCACGCTGCGGGGCAAGATCTTCTCAGATTATTTTTTTTGTAAAGTGGTTTCTTCCATGATGCGTGGGAGCTCCTTGTGTGCCTTTTTAAAAGTGTACCGTTCCGTGTGATTACTCCAGTAGAAAAGGATATGTGAGTGCTCATACATACGTGATGGTAATGGTAAGATGCTTTGTCATCTAATACTCGGACCATGATCCTCTACAAAGATCAGAGTATTGGAGTAATTTACAGAGTGACTAAGCCATCTAAACAAAGGTAGAGTGTGTAAGGGAAAGGCAGGGGTTAATACGGCACTGGCTTCACAGTAGTTTATAGGATACCTGCACTGTGCTACATGGCACAGCATGTCAGGACATGCGTGACTGTGGTTATCAGATAGCCTCCACCTCTATGTTGGGCTCCACCCCAGTTGCCATGGAGAAACTTTGAAATCGCATTCTTCTGGACCTGTGACACTGTGAAAGATCCAGCTGTCTTGTCTGTCTTCGAATGGAGCAATCCAGCCAGGAAAACATCCAACGTGGTACACACGGTTAAAATCTGTGGCGGATGACATTCCAGTTGGGATTACGTGTGAAGGAGCCAAATACCCTGAGGGAGAGCGTGGGAAGTTTGTTTGTTTTTTCCTGTGTGGCATGCCTACATTTTCACTGCTAAAGCAGAGAGCCATGAGAGCAAAGCCAAATGAGTCTCTTCGTTAGAAACTCTTAAAAATGAAGGTAGTGAAAGTTAATTCCTAGGTTAGAAGAACCAAGAAATATTTTAAAGAACAGTGTGGATATTTGTCAGGTATACAATTTCATAAACACGGCAGAGTTTACCTTTGGAACATTTTATAAGAGACTGTGGCCGCAGTCCCCTTATTTTAAAGGCCAGTGGTCTGTTCTTAGATAAGAATGCATTTCTTGCATTGTCTTTCCAAGGCTGATATTTACTGTATACTTTGAAGTGCCTTGAAGGTGCTTGATGTATTTGTGTGTTGAAATTTACCTGTATCTTGTCAAGACTATACCTTGAGCTGCTCACTTTGAGAAACTGAATCAAAGCAGTCTCTAATACAACCCCTCCAAAATTACTATCCTTTCTAAGTACAGTCGGAAAGTTAATATTTATCACAAAATTGTAGATGTAACTTAAGATCCACAACTTTTAGATGGATAAGACTTTATCGATCCCGTAGGGAAATTGATCAACTTCTCTGGAGCTAAAACCATTTAGATCAGTGTGAAACGATTATCGGTGTTTTTCCCAGTTTTGCTTTCCGTCCTCAATCCCTCCCCGGGTTCAAAGCGGTCAGAGCTCTGGTAGCAAACGGAAGGGCCTGCAGGCGCGGAATGGGCAACCATGCTTGCGCTCTCCGGAGAGGCTTCCTCAGCAGGAGGAACTGGCGGGATGGGGGTCTTTGGGTCCGGGACGAAACCTGAACCATCTGGATCCCGTGTCTTTCAGCCTCTATGAATATCGCCTCCACTGCGGGGATTATCGGCGGGGTAGCCGCTGCGCTGCTTCTGGTCGGCGTCTTGGCCTACTGCTGCTGCTGCCGGAAGAAGGAGCAGGCCCAGGAGTACGCCATGGGGTGAGTGTGGGGACACCGCGCGCGCCGCGGAGCAAAGGGCGTTCCCCCTGCGTGCGGGCCATTCGGGGGCGCCGCAGGGCAGTCCTCGCGTGTGGGAGACCGTACAGAGCACGCGCTCATCTGAAGAGCCTGACGCCGTGTTGTTGTTGCCCATTTGTTTCATTTGGGGCGTTTCGCGGGGGTGGGGGGAAAGCACGGCGGCAAAGGCCGTTCCTCTTGCTTTTCGTCTTGGGAAGATCGGCGCCCCGTGCTCCCGATTGCCCCCGAGCTTCCAGTCAAACTTGGACGTTTATTTGGAAACGCCTCGGGTGAACTTGTTTTTCGGTGACCAGTCGCTAGCCGCTCGGCACGTGCCGGTATCGGTATTTTTTTAGAGGGGGGGATTGGCAAGGTTTGATCAGTGCCCCCCTTCTTGATCCATGACCAAGAGGCAGAACAGGCCCTCTCTTGCTCTGTGAGCCACACCCTGTACCCTCCCAGTCTGGCGTATACAGTTGTTTTTAATCGTTTTTCAGGCCCCATTTGAATAAAACTGACTGGAGTGAAGTGGGTTTTGCCTTCTTTCCTTTCAGGTTTAGGAAATGAAAAGGTTGGTGCCTTGGCCTTACTTGTCCTCTTTTTTTTTTCCTTGCAGGCCGCCGGAAGAAGGGGAATATCATGATCAGGGAGAAGACAAACAGTCCGCTCACAATGGGGTGGCGTCCTATCGTGACGACGTGTCCGACGACGGCGGTGCGCGGCGTGGGCCTCCCATGGTCCCTCCGAACAAACCTAGGAGAGACGAGTACGAAGACTGAGCTCCGAGAGGCGTCCTTATTGGAAGAGCTTCCCTAAGGACTGGACGAGTCGAAGCTTTGGCACAGTGCGCTCGTGTCCAGGAGCGATACTGTGTTAACAAGATAGTCTAGCATTTAGTAAATGAACATGAAAACCAATAACAGAAGAGAAGAGGAACAGAACCATTACTCAGCTTTTATTCCATTTTTTTAAACAAGTACTTGGTCATTAATCAATTTCATGTGTGTAAATTGCCGCCTGTGTAGTACTGTGAAGGGGATTCGTTAATTGTGAATATATAGGTGTTTTATCTCCTTTAAATACTTTTGGGGTTTTGTCTGTGCTTTCTTCTTTTAAAATTAATGGTTACATTTTCATGTACATAACGTTTTTATGCACCAGTTTCAAATGTAAGTCTTTAATATGTGACGTTTTTTTTTTCTTTCACCCAATTCCACTGCCTGATTATTAAATTTTAACTATGCTTTTCTGTGGTGGACTTTATAATAAAATCTTTATTGAATCTAAGCTATCATGACTTGCTTGCT